ACAAAGAGAGAGAAAGAGAAGGAAAGAGAGAAGAGAGCACGAAGGCGCGGATACAAGAAGAAAAGGAAAGCGAAGCTAGGGGAACGACATTCCAGCTGGAGCCGGAATGAGCGGCGTCAACCTCTCGAAAACCGAAGCCACGTTTCGTACATTGTAACAATAACAGAACGCGATGCGCACGATCAAACTGCCCCGAACGAGCCACTTCTTTACGTTCCCAGCGAGACTCAATTTCTCGGCAACGCGAAACGCAGAGGCATCATATTATTATATTAAATCTAATAAAATTTCTTTTGAATTAACCATAAGATCCTATCGATTTTCGAGATCGTCGACATGAATTCTTCGCAATTCTTCTCAACGGAGGGGAAATGTATCGCGAGAGCATTTTTAATTAGTTCACGAACGAAGATCGAACGCGCGAGCGTGCTCACCCGGCGTGTTGTAGACAGTTCGATGTCGTGCTCGCGTAATAAATGGAAGCAAACGGAGCCATTAATTACGGGAGATAAAGGACGGGGGTGAATCCAGCGTGAAACGCGCTTCGCGAAATCAAGGTCGGCCGGTTGCAGCGAAACGCAATGCGCTCCGAGAACTCACGTGGGCTCAGCTCCGTTTCGCCTTTCGGATTAATATTAACATATCATGCAACGCGGCGCGAAAGGTCATGCCTCTGAATAAAATCTTCGCAACGTACATCCGTTGTATTCGTGTAGCTGGGTAAAATGTTCCTTCGAATCGATTATTTCTACTGACGCTAAAAAAAAAAAAAGATTCCCCTAATGAAGAGTGTGCTATATTAAAAAAATATCGAGCAACGGTTACGTGGCAACAACAATGAGAGACATTGTGCAGAGACGGACGTGTATTGCGCGCGTTATATAGGTGCGCGATAGGAAATGGAGCTACCCGTTGGCCGACGGCCAAATCGAGTATGGATTTTTAATTGTTTGCGCGAGCTGCCATTGTTTCAACAAAAAAAAAAAAAAATTGCAGAGGATCGAGGATGCGCGCCGCGGTGGCGATGTCCTAAATTTAAATAAATCCTCGGCGAATCGAGCAGACGGGCTAATCCACGCGCAGGACACCCTATGTAAACTGATTGCGCCCGCACGAAACGCACGTGCGTCATATACGCAATGACGGGCCGTAAGTAAAGTCAGCCAATCGGATTGCGCACCACGCGCGAAATCAATATCGGCCGATCCGTGATTAATGGCAGCGACGCGGATTATTATTCGGCCGAATTATCTGTTTTGGTCGCGGATTAATTTTGTTTTATCGGGCGTCCGAGCGCGCCGAAAAGTTCATCGTCCGGCGATCCGAGCGCGCCTGATAATTACCCCGCGTTGACTATTTATCGCGCAACCATGCAGCTCGGATTTTTATAAGTTCTCTTTCACGCGGCTCGCTTCGACACCCTCGAGATTTTTTCGGTGCACCACACGGAGGATTATGCCAGCTGCTCTATGCGGGCTGAAGAGAACTGTCCGAACACGGGAGAGGATGAAAAAAAGGGGATTGGGGGCCAACGGTTGAAAGGCGAGTAGAGAAATCCCGCGGATTTTCGGGCCGGCCTGTCTCCCCGTTTCCTTTCGGTATTCGGGATCTACGCGCGCCCCACGGGAAATCGTCCTGAGCGGTGTGTTCGCCCGAAACAGGTCTTTGAAGATCAGCGCGTTACAGAAGGAAAGCGCCTCCTCCAATTTGACCGTGACAAATCGTAGTCAGAGGCTGGCTGCCTCTTAGAAGCCCGATCGATCGTTACACGATCGTGATATTCGAGGAAGTGGGACGGTCCATTAACGCGAATCGAACGAGTTGCCTTGGTTGCGTGTCTCGTAATTGCATCATACAATTAGCGCTAAGTGCGATCGCCCGATTCTCTGCTTGCGATCGCATCGAGCGAGATTTTCGGAGTAACACAAAATTAAGCCCATCCGATCTATTGCAAGCATATTAAATTACGACACGTCGAAAAAAAAAGCGAAAAAGTCATGTGATTTACATCATACGTCGAGATAAATTATTTTTTTTATTTCTAGCAAAAATAAATTCTGCGTTGATCAAGGTTTACAGCTATCTGTGAATTCATGAATAAAAAGAAATCTCCGCGTATTTAATAAATCTATTCTATCGAATATGAAATGTGACATGCAGAAATTAATTTCTACGAATAAGGCAAGAAAGAAGATTTGTATAATTTTTTATTTTCGATATTATAATTTAATGCGATTGCAAAGAGATTTGGGAACCCGAGAAGCGGATGTTATAATGTTCGCATGCATATTTAGGCTTTCATGTAGCTTTCATATAGGCAGAGAATTCGAGCCACTTGGCGAAGTTTCGCATGTAATTCGGATTTATTTGCTGAAAGGCTGACAAGGATGAAGGTGGATGTTGGTGGCAAAATAAAAATTTGCAACGTTATAATAGCGCCGATTGGTCGTCGGCGGCAAACAAAGGGATAAGGCCCGAGCTACGAAGGAGAAACGGTCCCACCTTGTACGGGGTCGTGATCCGGAGTTATCTGAGCGGGGCACGCGAGAGAACGAACGCGCGAGAGCCGATTATATTAAATGGCTGGTAAAACGGTCTGCTTAACATAGCGTTTATCTGCTCCTCTTGGTTTAGTACTTTTTCACTGCCTCGTCAGCCATCGCCCATAAACTCGACTACGACTATCTCGCGTCTCTTTTTCCACTCATAAATGCGAGAAGGAGAAAGCTCTCGGTACATTTTTCCGCGCGCGCACGCGTGTGGCACTGCACGCAGCCGGGCCGGAACTCATAAAAGATACAGGACCGTTAAAACGGTTCATCGTCTCGAGTGCTCATCATACTTTGACGCTTTTTTTGTTTACGATAAACTCGAACCAAAACTTTCTCCTCTTTTGTTCTTTGCTCTCCTCTCGCCGTCCCTTTTTCAGGTCGAAAAATGAAGTGCTCTTCAACGAGATCCACATCGACTTTACCCATTTTACTTATTTCAATATCTTAAACTTTAATAAACTCTAGAATTATTTTTAATAAAATAATATTTTACAGAATTTTGTAAAATATATAACAAAATCTCATCTTATATATATAATATTAAATAAACATATTCACTGCAATATCTTTGTCTATAAAATATTCAAATATATCAATAAGAAAATTACATTAAAAATTATAAAGAAAATTCTGAGAATATCTTGGCAGCAAATAAAATATGCATACACATTATATACTCATCTCTTCAAATAATAATACACATTGCATTAGTGAAATTTAAAAAGTTTTGTGTAGGGTATTACGATTTGCTAACAAAATATCGCGAGATCCCGCAGATTTCCCTTTGCTATACAAAACTGAAGTGGAAAGGTTAATATCTCCGTAAGTTCAAGGTAAAGCACAATTTAAAATCCCAGTATAACTGAATAACGACAAACGAGGATACAATGACGGCGAGGCAATAAAGGCAATGAAAAAGCAGAGGGTTACAAAAATATAATACACATGGTTTTCAGAGATACGTTAACAAAACCATACGATTGCGTTCCGCATTCAAATTTCTTTGGGAAAAAAGAAAAAAACAATCAATAGCTATCTCGTTCTCCCTCGATCGCGAAAAAGATATCTTCTTTCGTCGCGGGTGCACCCAACGCCCATTCCGAAATATCATAACGTTACGGAAACGTGGGACGTCGTTGACGTCACAGCCCGAGCTGCGCCAACGACACCCTCGTGTCTGCTACTTGTGGGTGTTTGTGTGCTTGTATTTGTATGAATGCGTGTACGCACAAGCACACAACGTATACAAACACGCGCGCACACACACATCGCTGGAGAAGCGATGGGAAAGAGGGTAGCTTAGCATGAGGGGCGTGGTGTGGTCCTTCCACCCCCAACGGGCAGCGAATACTTTTGACGTAGCCACCGACCCCCCACCGATCTTTCTCGCTCACCCCCATGCGATCTCACCCTTGTTCTCTCTCTATCTTTCTCTCTCTCTCACACACGTTCCTTCCTCGATCGCGTCCCCCAGAAATAATTGCACGTTTCGCGGTCTCTTGATCCGCGCGTAAAAGTAATCCAAACATGGCATAAAAATTATGTTTACGAGTTTCGAATGGATCTCGCAGGGGTCGTGCGACCGAAGGGTAGCCGAAGGGAGCGTGAACGCGGGTCGCGCTGTCGTCGCAGATAGGGATCTCTCTCGCGATCTTTTCGATTTCGGTCTACTGCGTTTACGAGCTCGCGACAGAACGGCTCGAAAATGTCGTTATTCATACGGAGATGTTGTACGCTTGTTCTCGCGTAACAGAGATTAAATTCGGAGCCGGCACTCTCGGCAAAGCTCGATTTCCATTGTTGATACACCTTTGAAATACAACCTTTATCGACCATTATCGCGTTTCTTTCGCAACGACCCGAAGGTCGTGTAAGAATCCTCTCTGTGTTGTATAGGTAAAATATCGATAGCGAGCTCGTCAGGACTATACCTACCGATTCCGATCGATTCCGAGGTAAAAACGCAATTTAAAAATCAATTCCAAACACAAGCCGATGGGCGCCCGAAAGTCAGCGCTTTAAATAAGACCTATGATTTATGACGCACAATAACTCGCGCGCGCACAGGGGAATGGAATGAAACTTCGCTCGCGCGCAAATATAATCAATGACGTTGCAAAAATAATAATACATTCTCACAACGATTCGATTTCCGCGTCGCGTGAAATCTATACGTATATAAATACGCGGCACTGCCACCCTGAGAAAGAGAAAAAAATATACATGGTGTCTGTATGTAATTTACAGTCTCTGTGGAAAGATGCGTCGCGAACGAGATTTTGTCACATCCGAAATTAACTCATTTAAAAATTCCATTCATCTGTTAGCGCGGCACGAAATAGACGAGTTATTCGTGCGTAAAGTTTAATGATCCGAGCGGCGCGAGTCGTGAGCGCGGCAAAAAGAGCAAATGCTCGAGCGTTGTTGCAGAGAGAGAGTATCACTCACCTGTCTTCTCCTTGATCTCGCAGAGCACCGAGAAGAGGGCAGGCTTCATCCTGTGGCAGTTGAGGGTGTGTTTTCTGAAAGCAAACCGAACGGATTAGCTCGATTATCGCTGCTCAAAGTCGCACGGAAGGTGATCTTTCGATTTGACGCGACAATCTCTTTCGACAAATTCGGGTCTCTTGACAAGCAAAAAGTCGCTCCTGAATTCGTCGAGAAAGAGAAAAGAATCATTCGACGAAAGAAGGGCAAATCTAGGCACTCTGCATACAAATTACGTAGAAATTACAAGTATCGCCATCGAAATTAACGGCTCGGTGCTAATAAAGGCAATTAACTTAATTCAAGGCCGTATGCTTAATTGAGGACCGCGATATTTAAATGGCCAACGTTTAACGCACATCGCGAAATTACAAGTGCTCTCGCTCTGCGCCCCGCGCGCGCGTAAAATGCTGCACGTATATTCGTGGGAGGCACATCTGGCACTCTTTGTAGCGGCATCAAACACGCGGACAGGTACTTAATATAACTTAACACACATGAGCATAGCCGACGCCAGGTGAACGGAGGAGGGCAAGCCACACACTTTAGTCACGTGTGTGCACAGACGATACAGAGAGTTTAAATACAAGGGGCCTCGGAGAGTTCGGTGCGCATCACTGAACGCTATACGTTCCTATATACAGATAATTCGTTCGTAATTCGCGTGCTCCTCGTCATTTGTTTACTTCGTTCAATCGTAAAAAAAAAGAGAAACGTAGCATCGATCTTCTCGCGGATCGATAGATCTTATCTGGACAAATGCCTCGTGCAGGATCCGACAAATTATCATAAAAAGACAGAGAGGATGTTTACCGGGATATATTCCTTGAGATAAATCAGGCTGATTTAATGCGCTAATGAATAACGCGCGCATAATTAGCTAAATATACACACGAGCGAGTGCCGCAGTTACACAGTGGAAGCGTATTATCACTCGTTGTCATTAATAAGCACGTTGCACGGTTTTATAATACCGTATAATTAACTGCAAAGATTGTGCAAAGTGCTCCACGTGTTCTTTTTAATTTGATATACGAGGATACGAAGGAGAACGAACGCGCGAGATGCGCTTCTTGCGTGACGTTGCGGGAATCGACGAAGAGGAGTATACAATATATACACGCGCGGCGCGGATACACATTGTAATCTATGCGATTTTTAATGTGTTTCCATGAACCGCGGTAACCGGAAAACCCTCCCCGGGGGAGGGGGACCCCGAAATAAAACTGCGCGCACCGTACTTTATCCGCGCGAGCATCGTCTTGCTTTTATGAGAATTTCGTTTACACGGTACTCCTCTCCGCGAGTAACGAATCGACCTCGTAAATCGAAAGTACCATTAAACCTTTAATTCCGCTATTAACGAGCCGTAAACATAATTTTCTACTCCGACGTAACGCTGATAGACCCTACGAACGTTTTAGCGCGAAAGTAAGTCGCGGGCAATTACGAATACGACGCTACCGAACTATAAAATAAGCGATATCGAACGTTAAACGTATAAATGTATATATACAAAGAATGTATTGTGTGTATATATATATATATATATACACAAAGAACAAAATGTGCAACTCTGTTCCGCAAGCGGTCGGAACTGAGAAGAGGCATTCAAGGACGAAAAGGCAGTTGAAAAAAAAAAGAATAGAAAAGTCGGTCCTATTCAACCAGGGCAAAAGATCAAAAGACGCATCTCGCGTGACAAATGCGTTTAAAAAAATGGCGGAGCGCAGGGAAAAGGACATGGGCATGCCATACCTCGCTTGCGCCTCGTCCAGACTCTGATCCGTGATGTTCATGATCTGCTGCAGGATCTCACCGATGTCCTGTTTCCGGGCCTCGACCGTCTGATCGGGGCCTTGCGCCGCGGTGCCGTCGACCGGGCCCATGCTGCCGTAGCCGGCGGTGTTCTGGGCCGCCTGGCCCTGGTTTCCACCCATCAGACCCACACTTGATCCTCCGTGTTGCAGCATCCTGCCAGTCTCATCCATCAACCGGATGCCCTCGTCGCTACCTTCACTCCCGACGGTGGTTGATCAGCCGGCCACCGTGTTTGCGTGCTTCACGTACCGTGTCCGCGTCGACGACGTGTGTATTATATATATAATATGCGTGTGCACGCGTGGCGTGTGCCGCCTTGCGTTTCTCCTTTTTTTTTTATCTTATATCCGCTACGTCGCGGCGCCCAGAACGACCGACGGAGCGCACTCGTCGTGTCGCACCACTACGCACGTAACGCACCTACGCGTTTATACTCGTATACCAGGTGTCGCGGAAAAACGCGTAACAAAACTCTTGAACAGATCCGGCCTCCGCGAACTGTCGCGGCCACCTAATTGTCTTCGTCGGATGATGCCGCTGGCCGGATGTTGATGATGCACGTGCTTTCTCTCTCTCGTTGCTCCTCTCTCCCGTGGATCTCCGTGCCTCAATCGTCGCTCTCGTAGAAGGCGCGCGCTGCACACTTGCAAAAATATATTTTCTCTCTCTCTCTCTCTCCCACCTTCTCCCTTTTATCTCCGTCGTTACAAATACCTCGTGACTTGAGTACGCGCCGATCCCTGACTCGCGCAACGATCCCCGAAACGCGCGGCTCCGAAACGACTTTTGGAGGTTATGCCAACGCCGCGGTCTTTGTCCTTCTGCGTGTCGCACGGCGGCTTTAACTCCGCTCCGTTTCTCTCGTCGGACGTTCCTGTCTCCTTCTCCCTCCGTCGCTCCCGAGCGTCTCTCGCTCGCTCCCGCGCCACAGCACACGCTTTACCTTCCCGCACGGCGATGCGCTTCTATCCTCGTTCGTTCGTTCGTTGCGTTTCCTCCGTGCCACTCCGCTCCGGTGATCCGCACTCGCGCTTCTTAATTATCGACTTCTAAAATCTGGTATACACAATATAGGGCAAAAGTTGAGAATTGGGTGCCTCCGGCGGCTCTAACATTGACGGATTGTCGGGTTTTACGTATACGCGGTTATGTCGAGACGGTCGGCGTCGCGCCCGGACCGCACTCCTCCCCTCGACGAATCTCCACTATATGTATATATATCTATATATATATAATATCTTTCTTCTTTCTCTCTCTCTCTCACTCTCGTGATGGTTCTACGACTCCTGCTCGCTATGGCTGAAGATCGGCGTCGTTCTCCGAGCCATCCGCGCCACGAACGTCGCACACGAAGCTCTCCACCTTACAAGGATACTGCGACGACGGCGACGGCGACGACGACGACGACGCGCGCGGACCGACCGTTTCCGTCGCTCTTCTCACTGTCCTCGGTCGCTCGAGCGACTGCTACGCGGTTCGCGGGTGTACGTGCGCGTCCGTGCTGTGCCTTCGAGTATATGCGTGCGGTACGCCAATCGGCGGCCATAGCAGCCGCCGCGGCCAATCAGAGCGTCCCATGCATCTGCCTCCCGCACCGGCCGCCGCGACGCGATCCCTCTTCCTTCCTCACGCTCGCGACGATCCGTCGTTCGTCCGCGTGCGCATCCACCTTATTTACGGTCGCCCGACGCTCACGCGCTCACCAGTAGCCCGTAGTCGCGATCAACATAACCTCCTCCACTGGCTGGCGTGCGAACGACGTTCTTCGAGACAAACGACGAGTCTTCCCAGCTGCCGTCCGAAGGAACGCGTCGTTCTCTCGCCTCCGACACAATCGCGCGTCTCCGTCGCCAGCACTTCACCCAGGCGCAAACTCCGCCCACTATCTCTCTCTCCCTCCGTGGCGGTCGTTCCGTTCTTTTTGCGCGCGCGACGTATTCCCGGCGCCGAGGGGCCTTTCGCCTGTGCGACACGTCGTTCGAGACTGGCTTGTCGAGCTGGACGAATCCGCGGACACTCGCGAAACGCACGATAACGCGGGTTTTTCGCGCGAAAATCCGCCGTTGTGAACGAGAGAGAGTAAGCTCGTGCGCGGCGCGAGAGAGTCGTAAATTACGAGGCGCGCTAGTGCGCAGTCTCCCCACGCGCAAAATGGCCGCTCACCGGTGGCGACCATACTGGGGAAGCGGGAAACGTAAATCAAACGTGCGGTGTGGCGTGGCGCATACCACCGAGGCCGGTTTTTGAACCCGCGCGGTTCCGAGTATAACAACCGCGCGCGGATTATCCGTAACAGACTCTTCCGCCATACGGAGGATCGGATTAAATTTACAAAAATATTAATGCGATATATTATTCGAATCGCATCCAACTAGAAAATTGTTTGCTTTTAATTTTTAGAACGATCGTGTCATCGGGTAATTAAGATTTATCGAACTTAAATGATATTTGTAAAATGATAAATATATTGATTTATAAATGTACTTATAAATTAAAACTGCTGAAATTTTTTTAAATTAAATATAAAGTGTTTAAACTTCTGTTATTTATTAACTTTTTAAATCACGTACTTATCAATTGTAATTAATAAAAGACGAGAGCCACTGTAATTCATTAAGAAAACAAAGTATTGTATTCTATCACGTATTTATCAAATGTTAGTATCAAATAATACTAGATACGTTTCAAAATGTGCTGATAATGCTGAAAATTTATAATTTAAGACCATTGCAATCATAAGGCCATATAAGCAAATCGATCAATTACAATGAAAATTGCGGATCTTAAAATGCACCACTGTGATTGGTCGATTACGGTCTTAAGCCTATTCTAAAATAGCTGTAGGTCGTAAGAAATTAACCAATCACAGTCGATTCTTCTCATATTCTTCTCATGTTCGACTGTGATTGGTCAATTTTTTTACGGCTCCCTACACCATATCCACTGTAGACGGTCCTTTAGTCCTGAAAATCTCCTAATATTTGCACTTAAAATGAAATAAATATATATTCGGACGTTGGAGAGAGAGAGAAAAAGAAAGACAATGAGTGCAAAAAGTGTTGAAACAACGCGACAGATTTATGATTTAGGATGCCTTCCATTTAGCGACACAAATCGACCAATGATATTTGTCTCGATCTGTATTCACCTATGTCGCTAAATGGAAGACACTCTTAATTTCGAGAATTCTGCAGTGAGATGAGATCATTCATTTCATACGTCTATGATTATTGATTTCTTCGTCTGCAGAATGGTGAGGGTCCTTCCTTACTCCTTAACCGTTCTGTTGGAGTTTAGACTGCTTCTTTCCGACTTCCGAGTATGTATTTTTAATTATATAATATCGTTGAGCATCGTGCGAATAATATCTAAATGTAATGAGCCTTTACATATATAATCTTGCATAAAACACAACAGAGATCTGATTAAGTAGCATATATAATTATGTACTTAGTAGTAGCTAACCAATAATATTTGTAATTATTAGGTTTGCACGTGTATTTGGTACAACACATTTAACAATACATCACATTTAACAGAGGATCATTCGAAAATTTTTACCTTTTGCGACCAAGCGTATCGACTAGAGATATTTCGTTGCGAGAAACATTGTTGGTGAGAGACGAATCAATTTTTTGTTGCATCTCAGATAAGAAAGACTTATTTGTTTACTGAATAAGACAAAAGAGATCATTTTATACTGTAAAATGAAAGAAAAAAGACGTTTTTATGCTAATTTTATTAAAATGATTTTAGGTGAAAGGACTACGTGGTGTAATTATACATACAACATGGAAAGATCTGGAAACTTGGTTGAAACTTAATCTGGATCTATTTGCGATTTATAACGCTAAATCTTAATCTGTAATATATTTGGTAATATATTTGCGCCATTTTTCATAATAACATAGAACTTTTAGTTCTGAAGAAGATTAATTAGCAGCAAAGCTCAGTAGTAGCTTTCTATTCAGTGCAATGGATTTTGAGAAGTATTATAAGACTGAGTCGGATGGAAATTATGCTGTACATTTTGTGAACAAGGACAAACTGTCTTCACAAGAAATTAGAGAAATATTTTCAGCTTATGGGGATGTCCTGAGCATAAACGGCGTTAAAAATGGTGACACAGGATTTAGATTTGTTAAGTATAAAACCTTGCCTGAAATAGAAGAATGTTTTAACGGTTTGAAAGATGGTAGTAAGATAGAGTTACTGCCAGAAAAGAGTAAAATGAATGAATGGATGAATAAGAGAAGTTCAAACCAAGCAGCAAGAATGGGAAATTCATTTAAAAAACCGCTTAACAATGACAGGCAATTCAATTCTGCAAGTTCTAGTTATAACAGAAATTTGTCGAACATTGAAACAAACTTTACTCATATGGGAATTTCTAATGAAAGTAATAGAGCAGATAACTTTTCACATAATAATGAAAATTTTATGAATAATCATAAATCTACTCAAAATATGGTTAAGGACGATGAATCACGTTCATCAGTATTTAATAGAAATTCTTCATTATCTTCAGGACAACGAAGATCTTCTACAGAGAGTAACTCTTTGGATACTCTAGAGTATGAAAAGTATTATAGAGTATGTAAAAAAGACAAGACTTATACTTTACATTTTGCAAACAAGAAAGGACTCGACCTTGATGAAATAAAAGAGTTGTTCTCATCTTATGGAAATGTTGTAGCCGCATTTGTCGGAGGAGATCATGGTGGATTGAGATTCGTAAAGTATAACACACTGGAGGAAACGATCAGATGTATAAAAGCGCTTCAAAATGATGATAAGATAAGCCTGTTGCCACACAAAAATAAAATTGGGAATGAAATGACAGGCACAATATGTGGCAAACAATTTAATTCGTTCTCCAATCATAATGAAACTAATCGACAGGAAAAATTATCAGAAAATGAAGAAAAGCCAATTTGTAATACAAAAACTTCTGATCGGGGTAAATTTGCAGATAGCAACAACTTTTCAGATAATACCTCTCACAGTTCAAGGCAGGATTATAAATCTAATGCATATGATATTAGACATAGAAATACAGATTCACAGATGCTTGATGAAAAATACTTGTCCTCAAGACAACAAAACCCTATTAATAACGAAAATCATAATCAAGTGATGAATAGGAAGCAACAGGAAACTACATTCTATTCAAGTAAGATTGAGGCAGATACCAAAATGGATAGAGATATGCGAAATAGCACACCCAAAATAATGCCGAAGTTGACTTCTGACACAGATGTGAATCTGAAAGAATTTGAGATGTGCGACATCTCATTAAATGAAATTAAGAATTCATCTAAATACTTATTCATTCCAATGCAAGAGATAATTGTTGCTAACATTGATATAAAATATGGCGTACATTACATCTTACATTTGCTTGAGAAATACAGTCCAATTTCATCGACGTTTATGAAGATAAGCTCTATAAATGTACGGTACTGTCGCATCTTGTTTAAGACTCCACAAGACGCGGTAGCTGTCGAAGAAGAATTTGATAATTTTGATTTAGCCGGAAAGAAGCTTGTTGTTTTACGAACATCACGAGTAATAGATGAAACTATAAATTACTATAAATAAAAAATAGTAAATTACTATTTTTTTTCTTTTCGGAAGAATTTTTCTGCCTTATTTTTCTTATAGTTGCTAGACTTGTTATTGGTTGGTTTAGATTTGATAAAAATCACCTTTGATATGGCATGTATGCATAGTTTGATGATAGAACATATTTGTTGATAAATGTATTATTTTATTATACATATTAATTTGACTATGGTAACTTGAAAAATTTGTATTTTTTTAAATGAAATTTTTGATAATGAATCATATGAGTGTTACCCATGTATACAATGTTTTCTTCCCTTGTCTCCTTTCTCTCTTCTTTTTCTTTCACTTAAACATTAAAGAAAGTACATTTGCATTTATATATATTTAAATTAAATCTGTACGTGGCTCTAATCTTAATGTCTTTTCATTTTCGCGTAATGCTATTTCCTACAATTAAAATGTAATGAGAGATCAAATCAGATCAAATATTAAAGAAAGAAAAAATGTAGAGGAATAAAAGAATATATTTTTTTATTCATATTTTATATGACTTTTTATATAAAAGAACACAAGAGATTAGCATTAATTTTACACATAATGTTAAAATTCCGAAACAAATAAAGAAGAATTTTCCTTCTTATTTGCGCAACGTAAAGTAAAAGAACCGACGAAAGATAAAAAAATGATTTTGTTTCAATTTTCAATTTTTGTTTGTAGCAAAATATGAGCATGCTGCATCTATTATCTTCATACTCGAGGTTTGTAGCGCGATTCTGGGTAACCTAACCTATTTCTTTGTTATTTACTTTAAAGTACACGTGAGTTGAGAGAAAAATGCAGTTAACAATGTCGAAAGGATTTAATAAAGAAGAAGCGCGTAAAATGCTTCTGCAAGAGGAACGATTCATTTCGCATGTATTATCTGTAATGCCTCTATCGACACGCGAATTAGGTGAATATATTCATTACAAATATTTCTGAAATTTCAAGGGTTAGATTTTTTTAAGAATAATTAAATAATTGGACATTTCACAATTTTATTTAGATGAAAAAAATTCTACGTCAACGAAGGAAAGAGAGCCTACAACAAAAAAAGGTTACTAGTTTTTTGGTTATTTGAAAACACAAGATAATCGTGCAGAGTTCAGCCTACTAATTAATAAAATTCTATCATATGTATTTTAATATATAGCATACAAGATAGTAATAAAAATTGTTATTTTAACGATAATACTTTTTGTTTTAAGAAAGTCTGCATTTTGCCCGTTTATCAAAGGAAAAACCTCTAATTTCGTGAACTTTATTGCTAATCTTTTCTTTACATCACATTTTCTATTGCAGTGAAGACTTTTACTGTACCAGGCAAGAAAACGAAAAGAGCAGCTTCCTTTAAAGAACTACATGCAAAATTAGAGGAGTTAAAGGGTGTAAAGTTGGATTATAAACAGAAGCTTCTTAAGAAAACTTTGAAAAATAGACTCAAGAAGAAGACGAAAAAAGAAGAGCGTTTGCTACAGAGGAAGCTTGCTAGGGTAGAACAGAATAAAGCTGGTGGTAGTAAAATAAAGACTGAAGATGAGGAGATACCGAAAGTGTCAAAACCAAAGCCAGTTTTCAATTCGGAGGGTAAAATGGTGTTTAGTAAATTTGACTTCTCAGAGATTGGCGTAAAGAAGAAATTACCTAAAAGTCAGAATGACCCTAAAAAGATGTTACAACAACTACAACAGAAAAAGGAAAAATTGAAGCAGTTAGAAGACTTAGGCGATAAGGAACAAGCTGAACACATTAGAGAGAAAGACGCATGGAAATCTGCATTGGCAAAAGCATCTGGTGAAAAAGTATGTACTCACCTTGACTCACATGTTTATTTCATATGAAAGACTATTTTTTTATCGCAGTTGTAAAGCCTAACAAAATATATACTTGATTTTATCTAAATTTTTCTTATAAATTCCTCATATTTTGCATGTTTATCTTTCTTATATTTTCCTTATATTTTACTTGTATTTTGCACATCATCTAATTCTTATATATTCTGAATTTGTCATTGTTGTTTGTTCTTTATATATAAATGTATATACGTAGCTTATATTTTTTAATGCATTTATATTACATTTATTTGACAGATTAAAGATGATTCCGAGCTGCTGAAACGTACTATAAAAAGGAATGAGCAGAAGAAGAAACACAGCTCAAAGAAATGGAATTCCAGGATAGAGAGCGTACAGAAATCTATTCAGGAGAGGCAAGAAAAACGCCGAGAAAATATCATGAAAAGGAAGAAGGAGAAGAAACAGAATAAATTGAAAAAATCAGCGAAGAAAGGACGCGTAATATCCGGAGTTTAGCCGTCGATTAATTACACGTAGCTATAATTTGTATCAAATTTACTCTAAAATTTATGTTACTACGTATACTTGATTATCTAAAACCATTCTATTCATTGATCTGATATAGAAAGACATTCTATCCTGTGTTACATTTGTCTAGCTAGAACAATTGAATTTTTATAAGTGTACATATTGAATGACGTACTTGTGTACAATATCAATCTATATAATACAGCCACAAATAATAACTTTATTCATTTGTAATTTCATTTGTATGTACATTAATTAAAAATCTGTATTTACATCGGTATGTATATCAGTATTGTAGTCCAGCTACTTTTTCTACGGTGACCGGATACATTTTAGATTACATCTATCGTGTAAAAAGCTCCACTCGCAAATATCGCGAGCAAATGGCGTACAAAATTTCACGTCAGTCACAGTCTATGTTGAATTGCGGCATACATACATATACGCAGACATTCGCACAAAAAGATACGATGCTCTACTTTTCGAACATCATTTTGTTGTAAACTTTTTATTTTATTTACTTCTCTCGACAATGTATATTTCGCAGGATCATTATCGCGATATGGTAGTGCTTTGAGTAAGGATGTCCAGCTTCCTTCCGATGCTCCAGCATACTCCAGCATGCTCCACTAAGACATCTATTTTCAGAGAGAGAGAGAGAGAGAGGCCGGTCAGTAAATGATTGGCAGATCTAGGACGAGAGCTTCGACAAAGCCGCCGTCTTCCACCTCCTGCTAGGTGTCTCCTAACGCCGCGGAGACTGCATTAGCGTGCGTCAAAGCCGTCCATAGCGGACTATGATCCACAGGCAACGGCACCGCCAAGGATGGTCGTGGCGATCTGCAAAAATGGAACAGTGCAATCACATCTGCAGAGACACGTTATATATTATGGAGACAACAAATTAATTTTTATTTAATAGATTAATTTTTTTAACAAGTTGCAATCTCGAATGGCGTCCAATATTTTGTTCCTAAACATGTCTGTGTGACGATATTGTAAACAATTTTATTTTGTACACGTGTCATTCCGCGCGGTTTCACTCTAGTCTGTTTCACTTTATTCTTAAATTCCATTCGTCCATTCTTTTATTCTTCACTTTGTACATATAAATTTTAGTCCTCTTTCATTCTATATATTCTATTATACTCTATTATACTTTCTTTTACATGCCGTTGACAAAAATGGTTCACTAACACACGATATTTTGTTGGAAATATACCGTCCATATCCATCGGTTATGGAATTGGACGGATCCGATGAATATTCGTCTAGGCGAGAGCAATAGAAATTACCATGTATCGATATTTTTCATTTGATAAAGAAATCCCGCGCGCGTCAGAAGAATTCTGTGCGATCCATTTTTAGTATACGTACACGCATGTCGAAGTAATTTGACTTGAAAATTACCGCCCTTTCCGATATTTCGACCGTGAACGTAATCACAATTGCGTCGACCAATCAGCGCGCTCGCTACCCGCGCTACGCGCTAGACGAAGAATTGGCAATTTGCGTTGGCAGAAGTGAGAGAACTAGAGAGAAGGGGCACTTCGTCGGAAGGACGCTCGGCGTTTTCTCACGGTTTTCCCGGTCCGCCCGCGGTTTCTCCTCGCGATATCGAATCCGATCGCGTCGCAATTGCCGTCGAATAGCCGATTTTCGAACTAATGAAGCATCGCGCGAATCGTTCGAAGCTCGTACGCGATCGCTGTAATAATGCACGTAGCTCGCGGCCACTCGAGCCGCGCAATTACTCTCGATTGCTCTCGGTACAAAGCTCACACACAGGTAGATATTCCTATTAATATTTATATAATAATCCTATTCTCCTGTCAAAAGAAGAGAAACATCGACTTTATCGCTCTCGTAGAATGAGATGAGGGTGAGAAATAAAAAGTCATCCGGCGATGACTGATTTTTCGGGACATTTATGATGCCGCGGCGATGCCGCGATGGGGCGGGGGGGGGTGGAGGGGGAGGGGAGGGAGAAGGAAGGAAGCGCGTACAGGCGTCGCGTCGGTTCGTGTGAATTTTCTTTATCCGATCGCTTGCGCCTTTTTCGCGAAATATCGAGTCCGATCGCGTTGCAATTGCCATTAAATAGTCACAACAGTTTGATTCTCGTCCCTAATGAAGCATTTGCGAATCGGTCGAAGCTCGCAATTATGCAGTTGGCAATGCAAATTGTTCGCGGCTATTAAGAGTCTCGAACTAAATGCGATCGCTTTCGGCACAATTAAGGCTCACGGGTGAGATAACCTTTTTTGTTTTTTAGTACCACATTCCTGAATCGAAAAAAGAAATGCATCAACACTGGAGCCTTATTGCTTTCGTCGAATAAGTACGGAAGCGATAATGGGAAATAAAAAGTCATTCCGAAAATATTTACTGAAATATGCTGAGGAGGAAAGCGAGTGAGGAGGAGGGGATCGAGGGGAGGGGAAACCTAAAATAATTTTGGCGTCACCATTGTCGCAATTAGGTAGGAGCGTCGTGCAATCAGCGCGTTTCTCCTGCGATTCGTGTAACGCGAATAAATTCAGATTTAGGTAGAAAAGGAGGAGAAAGATAAATGTAGTTTCGCGCGTCGTGTGACGCGCGCTCAGGATATGAGTTTTCGCGAATCTTTATTCAATTATATCGCGTTCTCTTCGAGAAATATCGAGTTGAATTGCACCGCGGATGCCGCTAATTAGAACGGCAGTCCGATATTCGTCGGTCCAATGAATAATCCATGTTTTTTTCGCGAGGCATGTAGTTATACGCGTAGTCATTAGAATTACATAGACGCTATATTATGCGCTTCTCGACTGACGAGAGTGCTTCGGCATAAACACTTGTAGGTGAGATATTCTTTTTATTAATTTTAAAACTGCGCGCTCTTGTGAAAGAAATATCTACTCGAAATTAATTGGAAATTTTTATTACGCGTAAATATAGGAGGTGGAAAATGAGAAATCGTCTGCTACGAAAAATTCTTGGCGCCAGAAAAGGGGGAGAGGAAGAAGTTCTAATTTAACGCCATTATTTAACAATGATATGTTTTAATTATGACTTTTATTTTTGAATTCATGTTTTAATTATAAATGTTTCAATTGTGTTTCAGTTTTCACTGTTGTCCAACTAGCATCGTCTTTTGCGCCTACGACTCATCTAATTCATATAAATAAATCAATTTAGGAAAAGCGAAAACAAAAAGGGGATTGCAAAAGAATAGATAAAAAAAGAAACTATGCAAATTTCGCGTTTTCTTTAAATAATATTGAATACTTTTATTGCATGAATGACAAACGAATAGGCATTCCATACATTTTCGCAGTTTTTTATATCCAATCGTGCGCGTTCTTTGTGAAATATATCGAATTCAATCCAATTGTTGTTATCGCTAATTAACGAGTAATCTGTTTTTTGTCGTTTTAACGAATATTACACATAGTTATTTCTTTTATTAATTTGAAGGAAAACTATATTACGAGAGAAATGTTTCAAATAATTTAAAATTAATTAGAGACTCTCACTGAAATATGAATGAATAATAAGTAGTTATTTTTATGTTTTTACAGCCTTTTTTCCTATCTTACGCGTTCTTTACGGAGAATATCAAATCCGCGTCGTGATTGCTGCTGATTAACGGGCAGCTGATTTCCGTCAACTTAACGACGTGTTAGTGGCTTCGTAGAATGGCGCGTATACTGTTATTAATACGTACAGTTTCCGTTCGCGCGAATTTTTTTATTTAATTATTTTCTCTGCAATCGTTTGTATGTGAAACATTTCTTTTTCATTAATTTTGAAACTGCACTCTTGTAAAGGAAATATTGATTCGAAGTTAGAGATTCGTAATTCGTATAATTAGCGGTATCTTTATGAGAATTTTCGTGAGTGGGATGAGTAATTTTAACGTATCTCATCGTTATTACCTCGACGGTGCCAAAGCCGGATGCTAGTCAGGACTACTTAATTCGAGAGCGGTGCTCTGCTCGGGATCTGAACGCTCCTCGACGACGGTGTCCAGGTCCAGGGATGAAAAAGCTCGAGATCCTCGATCACCTCTTAAGGACACAGTACGTGCCGGTCGATCAATGCCAGCTGCGGGAATGCCGACGACATGTAAGTTACATTATAAAAAAGAATGCTGATATCGTTAACTTTCGTTTGAACACTCGCACTGTCAGTTGCAAGTTTTGACGGTTCGAGAGGCTGTCACTTCAGAATCGAAATTATTTATGATGATTAAAGATGAATGTTTTTAACGCGACGCAAATTAAAATATTTTCCCTCTTTTTATTCGCTTCGTTGGCTTTGCTTGCGATTATCGAAGTTCCAAGAATATCCACCGGGGCGGATATTTGATTTGCCATTATGTCGATTGACAAAGCTTTCGACATCGGAAATTTCTACTCAGATTAACTACGGGAATCTCTAAAATTCGTATAATGGCTAAGCTAATTTACGTACAAACGAATCATGCAAATCTAATGTAGCTTTTTTTCATCTTTTTATTTAAGAATCAAAGAAACGTTGCGGGCGAGCCTATTTTCACAAAATAAAAGTAAAATTGTCCTAATGTGTCGTCTATTTTAATATTTTTAGTAAAATAGTTGCGTACTGAATAAATATTACATCTCATTTTTATTATTATTTTTTATGTTCTAACTTGATTTCTTAATTAAATCTTATGGCATTATACGACAAGCCACACAAGCGCTGGTATATTCTATAAGAAAATACATACTTTTTTTTTAAATGCTAAAGAAATTGCTAATTATCGTAAAAAATATATCCGGGCAAACTTCTAAGAATCGAGCGATGCTATTAACTACATATTTTACCTAAATCCTCTCTCGATGCTGCGTTTGCCAACAAATAAACCTTTCAGTGTGGATTAATTTCGTAGAATAAAATTTTATTCTAAATATACATGCATTCCTTTAATGATATGAAATAAAGGTTAACTTTAAACAAGTAAATTTAGGTAACTAATTTAAGCTTATACTGTGTGTGAAATTTAATCCTCTTTAACGAGAATTAGGGAGGTTCCTGATATAATAATTAATTAAATAGATTTAATCTCTCTCTGTTATTAAAAATTTTTCATTTATTTTCCCCTTGTTTCGGCGCACGTATGAATTATATTTTGATTCACGGGAATAAATTTTAATTACAGAAAGGTATCGAAATGAGAACAAACAGAACAATTAATAATATCACATGTTACGATAATGTATATTCAGGCTATTTTGTGACAAACTTTTAATTGACTTTTTAATTTTTTGTGCAATTTTCTTTTAACAAAAAAAAAAGTGAAATACGGAGAGTTTTAAAATTATAAACAATTATAAAAAGTAATCACTTTTAAATTCCAAGACACGAGTAGATAATAAAATTTTATTTTTCAGTTAAGGTTTAATGAAATATTTAACTGTAATTAATTCAAAAAGTCTTAATCATTAAAATAGTTAATATTAAAAATTATGAAAGAAGATTCGATAAAATTTTTGTTAAAAGAAAATGAGGTTTAAGGTTTCTCAAAGAATCTACATATAAAATTTGTTATGCACATGACGCGTGTATCACATATCTTCCCTTTCTATGTAGAGGTAATATCTCTGAAAACTAATATCCAGTAAAAAAAAGTTGTGATAGAAATTTTAAATTCGTATGTTATATTCATGAGGCATTTATCTTTTGCTTTTCGGCGGACAATCTCTTGTTAGAAGATGAATATTGCAGACGGTAAATTTTATGCCTCGACTACTGTATGCACTAAATAGTGATCCAGAACGATCTATTTATCTGACTACTATCTCATGTTGACTGCGGATTGTCGTAAATTGAGGATTTGTGTGCAGTCACAATGGACACACAATATACCTTATGTTGTGAATCGTCCACGCAGGACCATAAAAAACTTTTTTGTTAGCTGCGGTGGAGACTGTATTAGTAGTATGTGAAGAAATAAATCCGCCTTTCCGCGCTCGAATGCATTGCGTCGGCTTCTAAATTATTTTTTTCTTTTTGCTTTACGCTAGTCGATGTGTACAGAGAGGCACTTTAAAAAGTCTAAAAATTTAGTCGAGAATTTCACGTGTTATTTTTTATTATTTTATCTTTATGATATTACAAAAGATTTTTTTTACCAGCAGGAATACATTATCATCTAGCTTTAAATTACGTTGAGAAATTCTAAAAATGTAGGTATATCGAGTTAAGTTTAGTAATAAAAATAAATTTGCACCAGTTTATGTAATAAAAATTATGAAAAGATATATATTCTGTACATAAGTCTAGATCACATTACGTTTTCATTGCATTTATAAATTTTGCTGATATTTAATGACGCATTATTTGTAAAATGTTATTACGTTATTATGTTATATGCTCAGATAGTTTCATAAATTATTACGCGTTTGTTTACTGAATATATTGTTTGTAATTAAAACAATATCTCCATTAATAAGTGAGAATTTAATGTTCTTTTCTATCAAGCCTTTTGATATCGACGCACACGCACACATCAGACTGTCTATTACAATTCTAAATTAAATTAAATTATTTGTACATCACATGTGATATTATTAATTTGACACGTTATAACATTTATGCGGACGATTTAGAGTGATGATAACGCGAATAAATTAGTTCATCGGGTTACGCAATTGTTTATCGATACTCCCGCAAACAATATGTAAATGGATGATGTTGGGGTATATATTAGCGATGCAAATGCTTTTATTCGAAAACGACGTTTATTGCCGTATATTTGCTGCTATGTACTGGCGGTTCTGTCGCAGCAAAAAGTACCGAATGCTAGATAACAAAAAAACTTTTCGTAAAGTGAATTTTAAATGTAATGTGAATGGAAATGGCGAGATAATAATGCGGTCATCCTCGATGCTTACTCCCGACTACGCGGAATGCACATGCACACACAAAATCGCGACCGGATAAGGTGTCGCACGGTTACGAGAGAAATGGCGCACCGGAGCGCCATATTTTATGCACCGCGTTGCACTCCACGGAAATGGATTATCAATGAACGATGTAAGATCCAATTTTTGATACTACGGCGCGATAGATCCGTTTCATTGCGATATCGCGTTGCCACGATTTCCCGGATAAGAAATTTATTTCCGCTTGTCGTAAAAAATTTAACATAACGGTCTTCGCGACCTTTGCGATTTTAAGAATTCTTTTTGCAGACAAATTTCATAGTATTTTGATATTAGCAAATAATTCGCTACACTTGATTTAGATCCAGAAATAATATTTCATACATCTTCGCGCTTTTTGGGTGCGATTTATAATGTACAGATTATTTTGCGTTGAAAAAAGTGTGACAAGAGTTTAACCGCGAATTTATCGAGTATTCATTTTTGAATAGAATTAATCGGCTATACGCACGTCCACCACAGTTTCAAACTAAAAATATCCACCGGTCATTATTGAATATTTGAATGTTCAGGTCAGAATGCAATCTGCTGTAGAGCTTCTTCTGTCCTCTTTATGTTTAGCCCAATGGTCTCTCGTACGACCGGTATTACCTCTATACGAGTGCATTTATATGCCATTGCAAGAGAATACTTGCGTATTATGCATATATGCTTATATTCAGTCAGTTCGAGAGTCGAAGAAAAAAATGTAGAGAGAGAGAGAGAAAGAGAAAAATAAAAAACAACAAAGTAGCCGCTATTAAAACGAAAAAATAATAGGGAACAAACGCAGTTGCATTTCATTTCTCGTTTCCTCTATAAATCTAATCTAAATTTATGACATCTTCAATAAATGTCACATCGTTATAAACTTATCAAGTTGCACTGTTGCTTATTTCATGAAAACAACAATCAGCAATATATTATTTTATACCATTCAATTTAAAACTGAAATATTTTAGACACGGTATTCATGAATAATTTGAAAACAGACTAAATAATTTCGCGCATACAAGAAGTTCATTATATGTTTAATAATTTTCTCGCGGCTAGTTCGCACATTCTATCCGGTTGGTTGGCATCACATATTTAATTTTGCACGAGTGATTTGGTTTCTATTCAGTGTTTCTATTCACACAGCGGATATCTGTTCCGCGTACGCGCGTGTCCTAGTTTCACTTTTAAACTCGGTGGGTGCTCACCTAGCCGATGAACCGGGCTGAAACGAACGAGGCTCAATGCGCCATGATCCAAATCACAGTTTCTTCGCCGGGCCCGTTCCCTGGCGAGTTTCGCTCTTCTCCGTAGGCAGCAAATTACCATTAACGCTAGCAGCGGAAATCCCAATATGCAAGACACGATGGGTATGATTATGCTCTCCGGCGTAACTGAAAGATGCAAATTAGTCACGTGTTAGATAATTTCGTGAATTAATATCAATCTTGTTTTATTACTATATTACGCGTAGTTCTTCTGCAACACAAACGTTGAACAGTATTTTTCGACGGCAATTTTGCTTGTTTAGCATAAAAGTTTAAAGTATCAACGGTGCGATATTTCGTCGAATGTTTCGTTTTTGTAGAATTATTTTTTTGATAACATCGCAATCATTCACGCAAGCTTCTCAAATTTATTGGATTTATTCAATCAAACAATTGTTGATATGTCAATTTTATTAACTGTTTTAGTCGATAATTGTTACAGAGATTTACTAGATAGATACATGATATAGAAGTATTATTTTATAATATACACGAAAAAGTGATTTTATTTTTATTATCTACGATGTATCTTTGAAGCACGTATGCCATACTAGTTGTTCGTATATTTTAAGATACGAAGCGAATTCTATTATAACAAGACAAAAAGGGTATGCATTTCTCGAAAGTTTGCCAGTTTCATGAAATTTTCAAGCGTGTAATAAGAGCGAAGTTGGTTAGTCGAATCGAATTAGTGGGTATTATAAGACGGGACTCAAGATGGTACTGATTAGACTTTCACAGTCCGCATTTAAAAGAACTTAAATCTCCGACTTTCTCTCAATTACGACAGAGCTGTTCGATTAAAACTTTTTGCGCAACGTGTAATCGTAATGTCGACATTTCTCAATAAAAGCGTCCCAGTTCTTCCAGTTGGATTATAAGCGCTATTTTCTCTGTATATGTAATACATAGAGCTTGATTTAGCTTTACAGTATTATTCTTCCTACACGATGCAAAGGAAAGCCAGGTTCTTTTGAGAACTTTTAATCAAGACAGCGCGCAACTTCTAAAGTACAAGATACAATACAAGTTTTGACTTATATAACTTTATTTTCGATTTTATTAAGTTACTTTTGCCATAAATAATCCAAACATAAATCTTTATTTAATAACTGCATGTTAATTAAATTATATTAATTGCTTGAATCTGATTTATTTTAAAGATTAGAGTAAAGAATATTATTATTAGAAAAAGAGTATTATAGCTTCCTCTAGAGATTACGTATAATCATACTTTGTAAAAAAATTAGATATTTCGCGTATTGTATGCTCGTCGTATTTTTTTTTGCATTGTGTATTTGCCGTGTCTCACGTTTTGCCGAGGGCAATGCTTCTGGAAATTAAGGATTTGTTTTTAGATCGACGTGCGCGCGAACTATTTTTTGAAGCAGTTGTCCCGTAGTTGCAAATTAGAGCTATTGTGGGGATTTGAATGAAGCACCGATTGCATACTGCGCGAAGTCCAAAGTTTCTAAAGTTTTAACGTCAACTAATTAATCCGACAGAAAACCGTGACGCAAGTGGCTCCGTCGCCTCGCCCGAAGTACTTTATCCATTGAAAAGGTACTCTCCAGGCTCATTAAATGTCAATAGTCTATTAATTGCGAAGTTCTTAAATTGCATTTGTGAAAATAAAATCAATTCCGAATTATTTTGAGAGTAAGATCTCTTTACATCGGATATCGGTATACCTATATCAGTTCACGCGTCATTGCACGATAGAGGCAAACAGTAATAGTAATCTGCAGGTAAAGCCTTTGATCGACGAGTGATCGAATAGCAGTACTGTGTTATTGTATTAACACGCCGCTAACTTGTTAGCGGATTCGTGTTTCTCGTAATTCACCGTATAGCTCGCCGTATAACGGACGAACGGCTGACACTAATTATATTATCAATCCGCTCTCTCTCTCTCTCTTTCCGCCTCTTTAAACCTTCCCTGCTTCAGCTACTCGTTTGCAATTTAACATCGCCGCGGGCGCGATCTAATACTTCATACAAGCGTCTAATTAAACGTCATCCCCTTCGCGTAGTTATAATATACCGTGTCTTCAAAATGAAACTGGCAGCGTGACTTAAGATAACGCCAACGAGATGCAAGCCCGCCGTGTATCTCTTGTAGTAAAGCGGAGCTCGGTGTAATTCAGCTGAGAATTAGAAATATTAGAAACATGTGTTCGTGTTCTTACCTGTCGGGTACACCAAGATCGTAGGCCTTTTGGAGTGCGGAATCGTTGGCATGGTAGGTCGACCAGCTCTTACTTCGGCCGACATTTTCCTTTGTTCTGCAACTGAATGGAAATTCACCTTTGAACTGACTTTTCAGATCTCGACATTCTGACTTCAATTCGATGTATAACATGTCAACTCTGTACACAATCGCAAAATTGAGGAAGTAGACAAGACGAAATAGAGAGAATAAAATACAATTTTAATTGAAGACTTGATTGCGGAGCATGTTTTTGTTCTTCGAATTCTATACTATATACGCGTAGGGGTAGTGGAGCTACAGCAGAATACAATCAGGAAGGTCTTGTCGCGCAGCAATTCATCAACAGTTATATGTCGCTGTCATTTTCGACGAATGCTTCGACGACGTATTATATTCGGGAAGCCGAATGACGATTTTTATGTTTCTCGCGTTGGAATGCATGGCTCGTTCGTCGCTCGGCGAGCTTGGAATCGATATGCTAGTACCCGTGACTCCGGTTTCAACGTGCGATTTGCACGCGCCGGGAATCAGTTGGCGATGTTCGCGCCTCGTCAGAGACATGAAATTGCTGCCGTTGCCCGCAGCTCACAGAGAATCTTCACAAGACTCGAATTTCTTCGCGTTCCATTGTCGGATTTGCTCAGTTACCTCCGGGATTCAAATTATTTGGTGAGACAGCGAGCAATGCCGTGACGTGGAATTTTTACACATATTTTATACTCGATATGAGTATCTATTTAACAGATATTAATTATTATATTGATGTTTATATAAAAAAATAATTCAGCAAATAACATTTTTACTATATAAATTATTTTAAAATAAAGATTATAATATGATACAGAGATGTATGTATAATATACATTACATTATAATACAAAAAATAATTCTATAATGCGTATCATATTTGGTTACACTGACATTTTAGCTTCGTTATCACTTTTCTCATTAATATTTAATGTGTCTGCCTCAAGGGATGAAGAAAATGTGAGAAGAGTTTTCCCATATGCGGTGTATAATTCATGGTCACTAGAGAGTTATCTCTGTATCTTTTTCTTAGTGATGCTAAAAATGCCTTAAAAATATCATGTAAAAGAGCTGCTTAAAATACAGGAGTCCTACCGTTCGTTTTTAATTTCCTGTTTTTACCGAATGTTGATCTTAGTGAATTATATAAGTACTAAATAAATTGTAAATAGTCCTTTTAGAAAAAAAAAATATATATTTGAATAGTTAACATTAATTTTCTCTCAAGAAATATTTTTTCCTTAGACAAATTTTTAATATCTTTAAACTTTTTTGCAGACATATTCCGATTTTCTTTTCAAGTACGTTACTTTTTTTTTTAAATCTAGGACAATTGCACAAATGTTCATTGTTCAGTCCACGAGAAAACCGATGCGACAATGCAGGGATATTGTCCGCGGTTGAAATCTAGATGCAATAACAGGGAACGGTAGATTATCGAGAATTTGCGATATCGCCGGACGTCAGGGGCAGATAATGCAGGATAATGCGCGCACGTAAAGGCCCAGTTGGCGTGGTTAGGGCGTAGCACAAATTGCGAAATGCAGTTAATTTCCTGCGGCGGTACGAAGATTTCTCACGAAATCGAATTAATTTTATGTGTTGTCGCCATATTGTCAAGCTTTATCTATTAGTTTTCGTGATGCGCGTTTGCTCTAAATTAACATTAGAGTTAAATTTACATCGTACGTTTAGAAATATGCATATATCTTATGTGAAAGAGCTGCTCGCGATTGCCAATTTAGAGTCAGCTTGTCGTCTGCTTTTTACCGTCTCTCCGTTTCGCGTCCCATAGCAGATAGGATTCTCATTAGTCTCCCGATATTTTCTGCAGGATTCGGCGTATACCTTTCTCCGATCGATGTTATCCGGCTTTTGTCAGACCACCCTTATTTTTTCTGCGGTGATTTGTCGAATATTGCTATTATAAATCGTTTGGGGATGTATACTTTGCTTAGGCGTGAAGAAACTTCGACTGAATACAATACTCGCAGAGAGGTGGGGAACTCGTTATCGTATCTTGAAGAAACAGCTTCGAAGGCACGTAAAGATTTTTTTGTTATGCTCGGGGGAGAGCCTGATCATTTGCTTAACCTACACGGTATGGTGAGACGAACTAAATTGGAGAAGAAAGAAAAAAAATTATTGTTCTCGAACAAAGAAGTAAAATTAGCGGACTTCTTAATTATGAGAGATGATAAAGAATGGTATTATTTATGAAGACAGAATTTATCTGGCTTTAGGCAAAGGGTACTTTTAAAAGTGGAAAGCGCTGTGCAAATAAATATATCTTTTCAATATCTAAGAAATATTTACCGACAAAATATTTGCATGTTTGGCTTTACAACGCGAATTCAAGATATAAAGTTTCGAACTGTCCTAAAGAAGAATAAAGTCGATTTATCAGCGTGCTGCGTTGCGTGAAAGCTGAGTTTTAATAAAAACAGAGAATTTTGAGATATTGCCGCTATTTCAAACGTCGATAGCACTTTCGCGCGTCGAGCTAGATTGTCATCTCAACTTCTTAGTCTTTTGATGGAGTCTTTTTCTCTTGGCGCACATTCGCGGGAGCCTACGAGATTTTCTGGTCGCCAGAAAATGATAGTTACGACGTGCCTGTTATCTAAGTAGGTCGGTTAGTTCGGTGCGAAAAATCTCGTTTCGCGGAACATATTCATGTGAGAGAAATAGTCAACTCCCCTTCGAATCCTTGGCGTTACACAATTGTATCAAGAAGCAACATCTTGCGAGAGACTTTTACAAACACTGAAACAGCATGCTAGTCTTCCTAAAAGAAATTATAAATTTAAAGAATGGAACGTGGGAGAGACGATCTAATAGTTACGTTGAAAAAACTTCTCGATCTCGTTTGTTCCTGTTTTCGTGAGAAACGCGAAAAGATTCGTTCCGTTCTATCAACAAGTTTTCATCTACCGAGTGCATGTACTATCACGCACGTTTCGCGACTGTCCGCCGCGTAAAGTGCAGGCACTGCAGGCTAACAGCTCTATCTGCATTTCCCACATTTTGGCACGCTATCGGAATACGAGCGGTATGTATGGCCGCAGGAAGTTGGTACTCCATATTGCCTCAACATCATGGAATGCCAAGGTATTTACGTCGCTTATGTATACAGGTTCGTCCGTATACCGGTCTCCAAGACAGGCGAGATGTTTGGTCCGGGTTTGCATACGATGTCGCACCGGCAAATCCCGTAGTGAGTGAGGTACACTCGCGTTTATGCACATGCATGCGCGAATATGAGCTCAGGCATTTCTGTGCCTCCAGTTTACGTACACGAAAGACGCAATACCATTGTATGCGATATGGGTGGGAGATTAGAATCGACATTATAACTGTCTATCTATCTGTCCATCTGTCCGGGATTTCATCTTGATAATGGATATTGATAAATCTGGACTTCTATTCAAATATCTTGAGAGGCAGGCATTTTTTTGATCCAATATAATTTCTTCTCGCTTTTACTCAGATCAACATATAGAGTGGATATTGATTGTACATGTCGATTTGAGATTACATTGGCTTAAGATTTAATTGCAAGTTTAATCTCCGAAATTATTCGCTGCGCGGTCGATTTCATAGCGTCTAGATAAAAGGTTGGAAAGAAGCGAGAGGAAAAACGCGGCCTTGTTTTTTTTTGTGAGCGATTAATTTGATTCTCATTATGTCGGTCAGATTTTATTTGGCTCTAGAGGAGGTCACTTAAATCGCGTCATTTATCATGTACTCCATTAATTAGGGCAACCTCGATCATATCACAGATAAACTGCACGATTTATCCAGCCTACTCTCTCACCTTCCGCCACTTCCGCTCTACGCTCTTGTTATCTTCCTTTAGGTCACGAACGCGAAACCTCATCTCTGACCTTTAACTACATCATCATTGAAATTAGAACTTAGAAACCGCTAATTTGCCGCTTCTAAGTTCGAAGCTGAGAGGTCGCGGTCAAGGCTTGGTCAAACATTTTCTAGGTCGTACACGAGATCTATTTACTAAATGTAGATTAGGGATTGCAAAATTGCTCGAGATTGTTTACTGACTTTAGCAATAGTTTCTTAATTGATTCGCTCCTAACGTCAAATGCAGTGTCATGATGAAATCTTCGTGGCTTCGTTAGAAAGTTAGGACCTGTTAGGAATACCCTCTCGTCGATGTGGTTATCAATTGTAATTGCTTCTTGTGAGAGTCTCATTAATTCTTAGTAGTAGCATCGGTCTATTAATTTCCCGTCTGGCGAAACAATCATGGCCAATGCAATGTTGTTTGCACATGCATGCACGCTATGCGCTTTGAAGGTTGGGCGCTTCGGACCATTACGTGAGTACAATCTCGTTCCGAAATTGCTTGTGAGACAAAACGACACGAACAAACGTGATTGTGACGTGAGGTTCGAGACCTAAATACGGCTATACAATTCCCAAGAATAAACACCTTTGTTTTCTTTGCTTCTCTCTCAATACCAGGAATAAAGCAATAAAATGTTGCTTTCAAAGATAATTTTTTTAAAACAAAATTATTAAAGAAAATATGCGGAAATTAGTTAAAATAAAAGAATAATGTGTAAAATATTTGTTTAAAATGGCACTGGTAAATAGATGTTCTATGTAAATGTATAAAATTTGAATCCTTGGAGCAATAAATGATGAAATCTTGTATCTGTAATTTTAACTTTTGATGCAGCATGGTAAAGAGCTATAACAAGATTCCATTATGCCTGTTAAAAACGATGTTCTTTGTACATGACCAAAGTGTTAGTTTTTAATTTCGAGACCGAAAGATACGTCGATAAGCAATTTATTTTCAGTTTCTCGCAGGTTTAGTTTGGAAAAGTATTTTTCTACGAAAATTGAACGAAAGTTTCGTTGATGCAAAAGATACAGCTTACTTCTTAGCCTCCTCCTGCGATATAAATATCTATATCCACTCCTCTCTTCTTTTACCTTTCAAAGCAAATATCTTTAAATTTTTAATGCTTCTTTCAAGTCTCCTTTGATCGACAAGCAGCATGATTTTCTCGCAAAAATTTACGA